ATCCTTCGACTTCTAGGATTGAGAGCGAGGCTGCTCTCAATCCTAGCCGTCTAGAAAAGAAGGTTCACCGGGAGTGGGATGGGGATGGTCTTCTCGGCGAGCACCACGGTGCTCGCGGATTCGACCATCCGCCTTCTGACTGCGAATCCGACGACGGCTTCTGTGAGGACGACGGCTTCTATTAGAAGCCGTCGTCCTCGCTTTGCCTGTTGTGTGAATCGTGCCTGTGCGAGAGAGCTTGGTTGTAAAATTCTTTTTTGCACACACACACACACACACACACACACACACACACACACACACACACACACACACACACACACACACACACACACACACACACACACACACACACACACACACACACACACGAGGCCGCCGCTGCTCAGAGCTGGTGGATCTCCGACGGCCTCATTTCACGCGGCGTTTCGTGTCCCTCGGGGAATTGGGCCACAGATCTGCAGCGGATTCGCGCCATCGATGTCGACGGCAAACCTCCGACGGCAAGACCTGAAATGAAGTTCGGCAAGACCTCAGACGGCCTCTACGAGGAGATCGGGGCGCCGGTGCCGGCGCTTCCCTACCGCCAATTCAAAAAGAAGCTTAAAATTCTGCGCATGGGCGCGTCCGGCTTCCTTGCGGAGGGCGGCGGCAGCGTGCCTAGAAGCGGGGATATCGATCTGGCGTTTTGGTCCTTTGTATCGGGCTGGCTCGCGCGGCTTGACCGTCAGTGGAAGACGGCGGTGCGCACGGTGCTGACACTCCGCGGTGAGGACGACCCCGCCCTCAGCGAGCGGGCGCAGGCGCTGCACGCTTGGGCAGAGCTGACGCGGACGGGAGTGCGCAAGATTGTGAAGAAGGTCAACAAGCTGAAGGGGGAGGGAGACCTGCGCCTGCGGCCGGTCCTCGACTACGCCTTCACGCGCGGCTTCCTGGGCTCGCAGCTCGAGATGATCTTCTCCACCGACAAGAGGCCAAGTTGCCCTGTCTGCCTCGAGGAGCGCGCCTTCCACCTCCTGCCGCTACCGCTCTCTCTTCCTGGCCCTGTCACTCCCCCCCCCTCACCTGACCCGCCTCCCCCCCAGGCCCTCGACCCGGCCAGCCTCGCCCCCGTCGCGCCAGCAGAGTGCGGGCACGCCATGTGCGCGCCTTGCTTTGCCCGCATCGCAGGAGCGGCGGCGGAGGCGGAGGAGGCGGTTCGGTGCCCGATCTGTCGGCGCCGTGTGCGGTCACCGGCCAAGCCGCTCACCGCGCCCCCACGTCGCTCGCCCCGGCTGCTGTCGCCGCCCGCGGAGGCCTGAGGCGCGTTTAGAAAGGCGCCGCTCGCTGCTTTGTTTGATGCTGCGCCGCGCGTACGTTCTTGCCCAATCCTGCCGGTTCCGCAATCGTCCGGGGGAGGAGGGGCAGCGGGGAAGGGGGCTTGGGGGGCGGGGGCGGGGCATGTCTCCGCCCTCGATTGTGCGATCTTGAGAGCTTGGTATCTGTGGGTGACAGGCCGGGAGGGGGGAGGGGAGTTCGTTGCACACAAAGGAGTTCGCCGAGCCGCGTTCGACGGCGGGTCTCGGACTGTGTCTGCGGTACGTGAGAGTGCGATACGTAGCCTCCTAGCAATGGTACACGATATGTTTAAGGCAGACCGGCCCCGACAGAGGCCGCGACCCAGCCGATACCAGGCGAGGTGGCGCGACACCTCTCAGATAAAGGACTCCAGCGGAGCCGGGCACACACCACGTCCACGACACCAGTGGCAGTGCCAGACACACACTCGACAGTATCACGTGGCACACTCCACGAGAGAGCCCTAAAGCGCGAGCCCTCTCTCCACACATACTACCAGCTACGGTAACTAGAGTGTACTAGCTACTACTGCAGCGTCTGCCCGCCTCTCGCCCCTCGCGCCTCTAGCCCAGTCGGCTGCGCCCTCCCTCCCCAGGCCCCATGTGCCCGGAGGGTCCTACTCTCTCGCTCCCCGACCCCTAACTTACTAACTGTCGGGCCCTCCCGACTCGCCGGTGGTAGTTCGCACCAGAGGCGCCACCGCCTGCCCTGCACGCAATCCCTCGGCAGTAGCGCACGATCGGTGTTTCGTAGCGCCCTGGTGGCGGGATGGCGCCGCTCGTCGGTAGGCTCTTTACGGATAGGCGTGGGCTGCTTTAATCCCGAGCATTGCGAGAAGCAAGTTCTGGCCGAGGAGGGGCCGGCCTGCCCTCAGTCAAAGGAGAAGAATTGCCCCAGCAAACTGCTTATGCACGATGCCTTGTCCGCCTCTGCCATCCCTGCCACCACGCGGAGCGTCTCCACCGACCACCTCTCCAACACGTCTCGTGGCTCGTAGAGCTTAAAGCACCAGGTCAGCCGGCGAAGTCGCTCGGAGCTGCTGCCATCGGTTGAGACTCCTGTGGCGTCAAGGGCAGTGACGATCGTCTGGGTGGGGCACTCGCGAAGTCGCTGCTGGAAGGTCATCCGTGTTGTTAGCGTAGGTCGACGCGGCTCCACTGGCGGGGGGCGGATCACTCGGGGCCGCCGGATCGGCGTCTCTGGATGAGCGACCGCCAGGTTGGAGAGGAGGAAGGTTGGCAGATCCTCCTCGTCGACCGAGCACACCGAGGTCGGCGAGGAGGCTCCGAGCGACGAGCACTCACTGCTGCTGCACCGCGACATGCCGCTGCGTATTCTCACTTGCATGCTGTTTGTGGACTGTGCTGCTCGTCGTTTGATGCCGACGGCATCAAGCCAGCCAGCCAGCTGAAGTCCGTTTTGTTTTTATTCTTTTTCGAGTGTCGAGCCTGTGTCCTGTGAGAGAGAGTTGTTTTGTTTAAATTCTTTTTCGAGAGAGGTATTGAATGCTTTTCCCCCTTTCTTCGTTGAATTATTCCTCCCTTCCTTACGGCAACACTGAACCGTCGCGGGCTACATCGCGGAAGCGACTGGCCTTGAGTTGACGTGAGTGAGACATCGCGGACCTGATGCTGCCACAGTTAGTTAGTTGCGTGCGGCCAGGGTTGCACAATACATAATACGTATTAATACAACTATCAATACAATACGGTGGCTGGTCGACCCGACCCACACCACGGCAAGCTGGCTACGAGTGGCGGAGCGAGCGTACGGCCGGGCAGTCAGAGCGATTGACGCGCACCCCGAGGCGAGGAGATGGCTCTCCTGGTTCGCCCCCCTGCAAGACCACGACGACTCCATCGGGGAGCACCCCGCAGTCGCCAGCAGGATGACCCGGGGAGACTCCATCATCTCCATCGACGGCGCGCGACGAACGGGGCGCGTCGGGGGCGGCGGGAGCGGGGTCGAGTACTTCTGTAAATGGCACGGATGGGAGGACCATCACGCGACGTGGCAAGAGGCAGAGTGCGTGCTCGAGCACTGGCAACGGCACCTCTCGTCATGGAGCAGCACCGCAGCCCGACGAGCCGACGCAGAGGAGCACATGGGGCGCGCGCGCGAGAGAGGGGTGCACCCATTCCACATGAGCGAGACCATCGACCGCGCCCTCAAGGCCAGAGGCCACGAGGGATGGGAGAAGCTTAGGAACGCGCCCGACCTGGAGCAGCGTGAGGGAGAGGTGCTCGCCGTTCTAGAGGCAGCAGACGACCACGTCAAGGCGGTCCGACGGCCCGAGCCACGGCTACGCGACGCCGCAATACTGCGGTTTCGGCACGGGCACGAGAGGCAAGTGTCACAGCGGACCCTCGACGCGGTGCGCGAAGCGCAGGGAGCTGGGGTCGAGCCGTGGAACACGGCAGAGCACGACAAGGCAGTCCACGGCCCAACGCCCGAAGGCGGGACGACGAACCCGATGGAGAGCGAGCCGCCAGCGAGCGAGACGTACGACGACGAGGGAGACGACGAGAGAGATAAGAGCGCCGCGGCGGACGACGAGATGGCCTTTATCGACGATGAGTTCTTCGAGCTTCCCGACGCGGCAACGGAGGGAGAGGCGGAGGGCGGGGGAAGCCAGAGTCAGTACAGCCAACAGAGCCAGGGGGGCGAGAGCGAGGGGAGCCAGAGCAGCCAGGGCAGCCGACGGACAGCGCACCGAAGGTCGCGGACAAATCGACAAGCCGCGGAACGATTCATGGACCGACTCCGTTTCGAACTCCTACAAGGAGGCAGCGGCGGGGACGGACACAGACACCCGGAAGACGCCAACGACGGCGACGAAGATGGAGAGAGGAGCGAGGACGAAGAGATGCCCGACCGCACAACAGAGCCAGGGCCGAGCGAGCAACCACCCGAAACGAGCCATCCAAACGAAGGCAGCCAGACAGACGACGAATTCACAGTGATGGACGTAGAAGAGGAACAGCCAGAGGACGAGGCGCCCCAGCCGCCGAGGAAGCGAGGGCGCTTTGAGAATGAACGTAGCGATTCGATGAGTCAGGGAGGGGGGGCGAGCCAGCAGCATCACGAGGGCGAGGAGCCGATGACGAAGACACAGAGACAGCGCCAACGCCAGCGGAAGCAGGGATCGCACCGGAAGCCACCCGTCAAGTTCAGACGCTAACCGAGAGAATGGTGACAAGAAAGGGGGGACTCCGAACGGCCGAGCATGCCCTCGCATGCCGGACAATTAGGTAGGTCATAGACCTCCCCCCTCCCGATGAACGTGGTTCAGGGTGGGTGTTCTGTTCATAAGTCATAAGGCTACTTACTTGTAACCACGATCGATGCGAGGACGCAAGTCCACCAAACTCGGCCATTCCAACGGCCAGACCGCTCGCTTAAGGCTGATTGGCTAGACGAGCGGTCTACCTCCAACGGGGCTGACTGGCACAACGAGGAGAGGTCATCCGGATGTGGCGGGACGCCGCCGGGCACCTGGTTGCTCTCCTCCGCCAGACAGCCCCTCCCGACGGGGACGCCACCACCCTCGCCCAGGGATCTACAATGCTGTCTTAAGGTCCGACAGGTTCGGCACCGGGCACCGCCTCGGTATACAAAATGCGCCTGCGGGCGGACCCTTACAGATCACAGATCCCCCGTCCCTGTCCACGCGCCTGCAGACCGTCGACGTACCCGCGCCCGACTGACCGCGCCAAGCTCACCCGACACTGCAGTATGGAGAAGATGGACACGAGCGACGACATGCTCTCTCCGACGAGACCCGACCCGCCTGTGGAAATGCTCGCCGAGGGGCGCTTTCTGCAAAGCAGCGCCAAACCGTCGCCGACAGGCCCTGCCGCCCAAGAGGTGGAGGGCACGACCGACGACTCAGCTGCCCGACCCGCCGCGATCGTGACGGCCCGCGGCGATGCCGCAGCGCCACACGACCCGCAGCAAGCCACCTGCGCCTTTGAGCAAAGCAGCGTTCTCGATGCTTTGCTCAAAGCCTCTCCTCTGCCACAACTGGCAGGAGCTGCGCCCGGCGCGCCGACCGCGGCCCACCCGCCGCTCACCGGACCGCGCGACGGCGCCGCGCCATTGCGCGGCGCGCCGCCGCCTTCGGCCGGCTGCATCCAGGGCACAGGCTTTGGCCAGTACAGCGCAACACTCGCTGCACTGCTCAAAGACAACCCTACCTCACCGGCCGCCTCCAACACTGTCTTGACTGGGCTGCTGGCAGGGGCCACCGCCCCCGCCGACCCCGCAGGGCCGACGGACGCCCCGCAGCTGCGCCGCGCTGACCAACCCGCCGGACCTGGCTTTGAGCAGAGCAGCGCCACCTGTCCCGCTTCACTGCACAATGTCCATCCCGCCCCGCCGCCCGCCGCCCCACTAGGCGTGGTGACCGGTGCATCGGCCGCGCCCCACCCGCCGGACGGGCCGCGCAGCGCGCCGCTGCCTGGCTTCCTGCCTTGCTCCTTGCCACCGCAGCCGCTGCTGCCCGGCTTCCTGCAAAGCAGCGGCCACGCTGCACTGCCTAAAGATGCCTCACATGTCGCGCCCGCCCCATTGGGCAGGGCGCCGACTTCGCACGCCGCCGCAGCCACCGCCGCGCCCCCGCCCCCGCCCCCGCCCCCGCCGCCCGCCGTCGCTGGGCAAGCACCGCCACCGCCGTCGCACACCGATACCGCCATCCGCCAGTGCAGCGGCAGCGCTGCTCTGCACAACGCCTCGCCCTCCACGCGCCCCAGCAGCGCCGCCCCGCCCCCTCCGCCCGCCATCGCGATCGTGCCGACCGGCTCGACATTCAATTTCTACGAGCTCTTCAACGACCCGCGATACCAGCCCATCCTCAACTTCTGCTTCCACTTCCTCGACCCCGCTTTGCCCAACGGCGCGCTGTACTGCGGGAGGCAGGACTCCTTTGCGAAGGTGCAGCGGTACAATCCGCGGCCCGCCGCCAGGCTTGTATTCCCTCGCGCTGACTGCTTCGGGCAGGACGGCCTCGGCAGCCACCACCCTGTCAGCCGGCACTGCTCCCGGCTCGAGAGCTTGCGGCGCGAGTTCATGCGGATCCTCGGACCCGAGTGCCACGAGTACCGCGCCCACGTGCGCGCGCACGTTCGCGGTCGCGCGCTCGCTTGCCACTGCTTCCCTCGCCGCGCCCAGGCCGACACGTTCGTCGTCGAGGAGCACGGGTGCCACTGCCCTCTCGTCGCGCTCATCGCTCACTCGCGCGACGACATCGACCTCGCTCGGATGCTCGAGCAGATCGTCGTCTGCCCGCGCGCCGCCCGGGCCTCCTTCTACTGTGACCAACTCCTCCGCGCCGCCCCCTCCCCCGTCGCCCCCCCCGTCTACGTCTCCCGCCCCTCCGGCCCGTGCGTCACGCACCCGCCGCAGCCCCAGCGTCAGCATCAGCCGCAGACGCCGCAGCCACAGCCACAGCCGCAGCAGCAGCAGCAGCAGCGGCCGCAGCTACAGCCGCAGCAGAGCGGGCCATCGCCCGCACAGCCGCTGCCGCCGCCGCCACCGCCGCCGCCACCGCCGCCGCCACCGCCGCCTCCGCCACCGCCGCCACCGCCGCCGCCACCGCCACCGCCGCCGCCGCCTCCGCCGCCCCGCACTTTGCGCATCAAGCTCGGAGGGGCGCTCGTGGCCGAGGGCACCATCAACGCCCACATCCGCACCACCCGCACCACCTACGGCCAAGGGCAGGGCCTCCTCGTCGACACGCCGAAAGGCTCGCGAGTGATCCTCTTCGACGGCAAGCCCGACGGCAGCTCATCCGTCCGCGTGGACAATGTCGAGACCTTCGACAACCTGGACGACGCCGCCAACGCGGTCGTCACCCGCAACTTGACCGCCACGCTGCCGCTCGCCTCGCTCTCCGAGCACGCCTCCTCCAGCGCCGAGCTCAAGGCCACCATCGAGGCCGGCGAGCTCGACGCCGCCGCCGTCACCACCGTGCACGAGCAGCTTTGCGGGGCAGACAGGACCGACCCCGTCGTCCTCCTCACCTTCTCCGACCCGCAGCCCGTCGCGAGGCCGGG